AGCCTGGTCAACAAAGTGAAACCTTGTCTCTATTTAAAGCAAACAAACAAACAAAACAAAAGAAATGGAACATTGTTAATCCAGTTGAAACCCCTGTGCACCAGCCTCTCTGTGGCTGTCCTGCCCACCTGTGTCCTGCCAGCTGTTCTCAAATGGGTATCAGTGCATGAATTCAAACATCCTTCTTATTTATTTATTTATTTATTTATTGTGAGACAGAGTCTCACTCTGTTGCCCAGGCTGGAGTGCACTGGTGTGATCACTGCAACCTTCACCTCCCGGGTTCAAGCAATTCTCCTACCTCAGCCTCCCAAACAGCTGGGATTACAGGTGCCCACCACCACACCTGGCTAATTTTTTTGTATTTTTAGTGGAGATGGGATTTCACCATGTTGGCTAGGCTGGTTTCAAACTCCTGACCTCAAATGATCCACCCGCCTCAGCCTTCCAAAGTGCTGGGATTACAGGTGTGAGCCACCGCGCCCAACCTCAAACATCCCTCTTTACTAATCAAACTGTACCTGCTCTTTGAGGAAACAGACTGTGTACCAGGGAGTCCTGGAGCTCAGGGAGAGGGTGGTTATGGCTGGGGCTGGCAGTCACCTGTGCTCAGGAGGGACCAGGGGGACCAGTCTGGCAGACTTGAGGAGGAGACCAAAAGAATCTGGAACCCCTGATCAAATCAAGGTGGGTCTTACTCTTAGGTCCAGTGTTTGTCACACTGTAACAGGGCTGTAGCAGTGGGAGAGTGAGGATTGTCAATTGGAGAGTTTGTGCCTGTTGTCCTCCTTAGAGATGTCACTTGTGCCATTCTCTGAGATCCTTTAGAACTGTGGTGATGGATGTGGGGCCTTCTAAAAGGTCCCTGAATGAAACGTACACTGGGGGATAGTGACTGAGGGCTGGCTGTTGGAGTTGCTGATCAACTTTTCCCCTGCATTTTGCAGGGCTGGGGGGACACATTAGGAGCTCATTTAAATGCCAGGTGGAGAGGCAGCAGGGTGGTTGGATAGACGGAAGGATTGGTGGGTGTGAGAGAAGGTGGATGGATGGATAGAGGGAAGGATGGCTGGATGGATGGTGAGGATGAGAATGGATGGCTGATCAGGCCAGTGAACAGACGATGTGTGGCTGCTGGCCGGACAGTGAGTGGACAGGGCGGTTAGATGGAACGGGAGGTATCTTTCCCTGCTCACTGCCTGTCATCCTTTGCTTTCAGCTTCGGGCAGCAGAGGTGGAGATCAAAGATCTGCAGTCCGAGTTTCAGCTGGAGAAGATCGATTACTTGGCCACCATCCGCCGGCAGGAGCGTGACTCCATGCTCTTGCAGCAACTCCTGGAGCAGGTGCAGCCCCTGATTCGCAGGGACTGTAACTACAGCAACCTGGAGAAGATTCGGCGTGAGTCCTGCTGGGACGAAGATAATGGCTTCTGGAAGATCCCACAGCCCGTCATCACAAAAACCAGCCTCCCAGTAGGTCAGGAGCTTGGCTGGCCCTTGCCCTCCCCTCCCTCCTTCACGGTTCACCATCCTGCAGACTGGCAGGGAGTGTGGGCCTGTCCTTGCAGGCTGTGGGTGTAGCAGACACGTGGGCCTGGGTATCTAATGCGTCAGGACTCTGAGAAAGTGGTGTGTTTTCACACTGTCTGGAGGCAGACAGATGTGGGTTGGAATTCTGGCAGCACCATTGCCTGTGTGCCCTTTTTGGGACTCGGTGTCCTCATCTGTGAAATGGGGATGAATAACAGCACCTTTCTTAAAGTTGCTGTAAGGCTTGAACTGTGTTAACAGGCCAGGTATGGTGGCTCATGCCTGTAATCCCAGCACTTTGGGAGGCTGAGGCTGGCAGATCGCTTGAGTCCAGGAGTTCGAGATCAGCCTGGCCCACGTGATGAAACCCTGTCTCTAAAAAAAAAAATACAAAAATTAGCCAGGCGTGGCAGTGTGTACCTGTAGTCCCACCTACTTGGGGGGCTGAGGCGAGAGGATTGCTTGAGCCTGGGAAGTCAAGGCTGCAGTGAGCCAAGATTGTGCCACTGCATTCCAGCCTGGGTGACAAAGTGAGACCCTGTCTCAAAACAAACAAACCCCCGAAAAACAAAAACCAGAAATGTGTTAATACACATGAAACGCTTAGAGCAGCGCCTGGCACATAGTGAGTGCTTGCTACATGTTACCCTAATCAGCATTGCCACTGGTTCATCCTTACAACAGCCCTAAGGAGGACAGGTCTTCTACCCCTTTCACATAGGAGCACACAATCTCAGACGGTCTAAAGTCACAGTCACAGCAGTGAGTGGGAGGACCATGGATCGAAACCCACAGTGCAGAGTTTCAGGCCTGGTTCAGCTTCCGCTCTTGCTGCTGACCTCACGTGTGACGTTCCGAAGATCACTGTCCCTCTCTGGGCTTCTTTACAAAGAAGGGGTTGGATGAGATGACCTTGAAGGCCTCCTCACCTCTGATGAGTCTCAGAGTAAAGCCAGACATGCTGTGGCTCTTTCTCCAGCCATGGACCTGACTCTGCGCATTTGGGGAGCCCACAGTGCCCCCCAGGAGTCCTCCCTCTTGCTCAGAGTGTTCATCCAGGTCCGACATCTCTGATATTTATAGATGGCATTGACACTATCCCTGCTGAGACCCCAGCCCGCTCCATTTCCCACATGCTCTCGGATGCAGCAGCCTTCCTGTCTGTCCCCACCCTCGCCTGCTGTCTTTCCCGGAAGCCCCTTGGCTGCTATCTTGCCTGGAAGCAGATGAGGGTCTTCTCTGGTGTCTGAGCCCCTCCTGCTGTCTGTTTCTTAAAATTATCCCTTGGCTTGGGCTGGGAAGCGTCCTCCCCTGTTTAAGCCTGAGCCAGGCCTGACCCCCACCTCCACCTGTGCCCTCCTCTGGGCCTTGCACCAGGCAGCAGTGACTTCAGCTTTTGTTTTCTCATAGCAGTTTCAACTGGGCCACAGAACAAACCAGCCCGCAAAACCTCTGCAGCAGACAACGGCGAGCCGAACATGGTGAGGACTCCCTCCCGGTGGGGAGAAGGAGTGGGGTGTCGGGGCTGGGAGGGCTCTGCCCCCAGTGCTGTGGGACAGCGTTACCGCAGAGAGCTGGTCTTCTACTTTCCTCCTGCCTAAGGATTAAAGAAGGGGCCAAGGCTGGATCCTTTTCATGTCCCTCCATTGGCACCTAGACCCTCAACCCCCTCTGGCCCTCATTCAAAGGCACTCGCGGTCATAAATACCAAGGGAAAGTAGTGGTTCCCGGTGGCCCATCTTGCCGGTGAAGGACAGAGGCTTCAGCCTCAAACTCAGAGGACAAGCAGCACATTCTGGTTTCCTGCCGGTAATCCTCAGACCACAAGGGTCCTCAGAGGGTTCATGAAGCAGTAATTGGGATTCCTAAGTCACTTTATTTTCACCTCTCTCGTATTGTCTTTTTTTATTCTTTTTCTGAGCTCAGTGGCAAGACCTATCTCCTATATTTTGCAGTGCAACAGAAATGCATGTTCTTTTTTTTTTTTTTTTGAGACGGAGTCTCGCTGTGTCGCCCAGGCTGGAGTGCAGTGGCCGGATCTCAGCTCACTGCAAGCTCTGCCTCCCGGGTTTTTACGCCATTCTCCTGCCTCAGCCTCCCAAGTAGCCGGGACTACAGGCGCCCGCCACCTCGCCCGGCTAGTTTTTTGTATTTTTTAGTAGAGACGGGGTTTCACCGTGTTAGCCAGGATGGTCTCGAACTCCTGACCTCGTGATCCGCCCGTCTCGGCCTCCCAAAGTGCTGGGATTACAGGCTTGAGCCACCGCGCCCAGCAGAAATGCATGTTCTTAAAGCATGGGTGGTTTTTTTTTTTTTTTTTTTTTGAGATGGAGTCTCACTCTGTCACCAGGCTGGAGTGCAGTGGTGCGATCTCGGCTCACTGCAACCTCTGCCTCCCAAGTTCAAGCGTTTCTCCTGCCTCAGCCTCAGCTGGGATGACAGGCACGTGCCACCATGCCCAGCTAATTTTTGTATTTTTAGTAGAGACAGGGTTTCACCATGTTGGCCAGGAGAGTCTTGATCTCTTGACCTCGTGATCCACCCGCCCTCATGATCCACCCGCCTCGGCCTCCCAGAGTTCTGGGATTACAGGTGTGAGCCACCATGCCTGGCCTCCTTTTTATTATTACTATTATTATTATTATTATTATTATTTTGAGACAGAGTCTCGCTCTGTCGCCCAGGCTGGAGTGCAGTGAGCTGAGTGCAGTGGCGCGATCTCGGCTCACTGTAAGCTCTGCCTCCCGGGTTCACACCATTCTTCTGCCTCAGCCTCCCAAGTAGCTGGGACTACAGGTGCCTGCCACCACGCCCGGCTAATTTTTTGTATTTTTAGTAGAGATGGGGTTTCACTGTGATAGCCAGGATGGTCTCAATCTCCTGACCTCGTGATCTACCCGCCTCGGCCTCCCAAAGTGCTGGGATTATAGGCGTGAGCCACTGTGCCTGGCCAAGCAGGGTGTTTTCAATGAAACTCTTCAAGTTTGTTAACTTAGCTGGGAGCTACTGTCCCCAGCAGCCACCAGAGGCCCAGACAGAAGGGCACCAGCGGGGAGTCCACCGGTCCCTGGGGGTGGCCTGGTCAGCAGGCACAGCTTCCACGACACAACTCCATGAACAATGATATGAAAGTTGTTATTATTTATAGATCCTCAGGCTAGGCAGGGCCACCAGAGAGGGACCCAGGCAGCTGGACCCCCTGTTGGTGTCCTTGTGTCTGGGCCTCTGGCGGCTGCTGGGGACAGTAACTACCAGCTAAGTTAATAGAAAAACTCAAAGAGTTGTCAACAAACTTTTTGACAGGGGTTTGACAGGGGTCAAAAAGTTTGTTGATAAGTGGTCAACAAACTTTTTCTGTAAAGGACCCGATCATAAATATCTTGGGCTTTGTGAACCATGTGGTCTCTGTCACAACCACTCAACTCTGCCACTGTAGCACAAAAACAGCCACAGGTAATACACAAATGAATGGTGTTCCAATAAAACTTTATTTACAAAAATAGTCTGCAGGCCAGATTCTGCCTTAAGCCATTACAAATATTTCAGAAAACCCACATAGAATATACCTTTACAGTTATGATAAGATCGCTAATGAATTCCAACCAAACATCTCTGGCTGAGCAACTCAGGCTGCAAGGGGCCACTCATGGTGGTCTAGAGCTTGATTGGCAGTTTCATCAAAAGGAAATTTGCTGCCAGGAAAAAAGACATTCTTAATCTGGGACCACAAAGAGGTTATGTCAGAATGCGTTCAGCTCCAAGTGATAGATACCAAAGCAAACAACCATAAGAAAAATAGGGAATTTTTTAGTTCATGTAAGTGGACCAGTTTCAGGCATGGCTGGATCTAGGGGCTGAAACAGTCAGGGTCTGTGTCTGTCTTCACCTTTTTTTTCTTTTTTTCTTTTGAGACAGAGTTTCGCTCTCGTTGCCCAGGCTGGAGTGCAGTGGTGTGATCTCAGCTCACCGCAACCTCTGCCTCCAGGTTCAAGCAATTCTCCTGCCTCGGCCTCCAGAGTAGTTGGGATTACAGGCGTGCACCACAACGTCCAGCTAATTTTTTTGTATTTTTAGTAGAGACAGGGTTTCTCCATGTTGGTCAGGCTGGTCTTGAACTCCCGACCTCAGGTGATCTGCCCGCCTTGGCCTCCCAAAGTGTTGGGATCACAGCGTAAGCCACCGCTCCTGGCCTATGTCTTCACCTCTTGTTCCTGCTTCCGTTGGTATGCTAGCTGCAGGCTTTCTCCACATGGTTGGAAGGATAGCTGCTGGCCATTGGTGATCCAAAAGGGAGAGAGGCCTGGTCTGTTAAAGCAACTGTCCCCAGTCTTTTTGGCACCAGAGACCAGTTTCGTAGAAGACAATTTTTCCACAGATCAGGACAGGGTGGGGGTTGGATAGTTTCGGGATGATTCAAGTGCATTACATTTAATGTGGACTTCATTTCTATTGGTATTAGATTGTAATATATAATGAAATAATTATATAACTCACCATAATGTAGAATCAGTGGGAGCCGTGAGCATGTTTTCCTGCAACTAGACGGTCCCATCTAGGGGTGATGGGAGACAGTGACGGGTCATCAGGCATTAGATTCTCATAAGGAGCGAGCAACCTAGATCCCTCACATGCGCAGTTCACAATAGGGTTTGCACTCCTATGAGAATCTAATGCCACCGCTGATCTGACAGGAGGTGGAGCTCAGGCAATAATTCAAGCGATGGGGAGCAGCTGTAAATATAGATGAAGCTTCACTTGCTCACCTGCCGCTCACTTCCTGCTGTGCAGCCCATGGACTGGTACCAGTCCATGGCCTGGGGGTTGGAGGCCCTTGTCTTAAAGCATCCTTAAACTACAGCTCAGGGAGAGATTCTGATTGGCTCTGCCTGGGTCATGGGCCTACTCTTGGACCAATTACTGTGTTTAGGAAGATGTGGTTCTGTGATTGGTGCAGTCTGGGTCACATGTCCAGCTGTGTAGCAAAGGGGTGGGAGTCAGATGTAGTATAGGGCTCTATGAATGCTCACCCCACTGGGACCATCAAGTGGAAGGAGGACAATTCCCTGAAAAGGGAGGTTTAGACTGAAGAAAACAAGTCCATAATAGTGGTGAAAAATAATAGCTCTTGGTGATAAAAACGCTAGGATTCCAGTTCTAATGGTCACAAATGTACCCGTGAGCTGAGGATAGCATCGCATTGCCTATTCTATGAACATGTCGTGATAGATTTGGGGTTTGTGTATCACCCTGGCCCCTGCTGGAGCCGGCAGGACACCCTGTTTTGAGCTTTGTAAGAGAGAATAAGGCACTTCCCATCTCAAGGAAGGGGAGGCCGGGTGCAGGCTTGGCTGGAGACTCTGACTTCCTGGCCCCGAGCTACCTGGGATCCCACCCACGAGTCCAGGGCCTACGGTGTAGGGTATACCAGAGTGGGCAGTGCCTGCTCCAGCCCTGTGATAACTTGGGGGAGGCTGGGGTGGCCCCCCACTGCCGCAGGATGCCAGAGGCTGCGGAGCCCTGTGCCAGGGGCACAAACAAGGGGGCGTGACCACGGGCATCTGCATCTTGGCAGGAGGAGGACCGCTATAGGCTCATGCTCAGCCGAAGCAACAGTGAAAACATCGCCAGCAACTACTTCCGGTCTAAGCGGGCCAGCCAGATCCTCAGCACCGACGCCAGGAAGAGCCTCAGTGAGTGTCCCTCCCCTGTTCCCACTGTCTCCACACAACTGGGAGAGGCATGAAGGGGATAGTTTTGAAGTCAGACAGACCTGGGTTCAAAAACTGCTTTCCCTCTCAGAGCCTCAGTTTCCTTAGCTACAAAATGTGGGGGGTAACACCAACTTCTCAGGATTAGGTGAGAGGAGGTGAGGAAACGGCCCAGCCCGGGGGCTGGTGCTCAATACAGAGTCTCCTCTTTGCTCCATCCTTGTCTCCCCGGCCCCCGTAGGCACTCAGCACATGGCTCAGGGTCCCGGCTGGGGATGCACGGGTTCAGGTCTCACTAGTTACACACCAGCTTCCTGGTGAGTTACACGCCAGCATTGTGACTTCCTCCAAATGCAGATTGACTTCACTTGTCAAGGGCCACAAATGCAAAATACGCTTTTAAGAATTAAGCATCACTTCATTTATCTGCTTTTAAAACTGAAAGCAAAGCCCGCAGAGCTTCCAATAAAATAGCAATAAAAAGCAAATCTTGGCCAGGTGTGGTGGCTCACGCCTGTAATCCCAGCACGTTGGCAGGCTGAGGCGGGTAGATCACTTGAGGCCAGGAGTTCGAGACAAGCCTGGCCAACATGGTGAAACCCCCTCTCTACTAAAAATACAAAAATTAGCCAGGCGGTAGTGGCGCGTGCCTGTAATCCCAGCTACTTGGGAGGCTGAGGCAGGAGAATCATTTGAGCTTGGGAGGTGGGGGTTGCAGTGATTCGAGATTGTACCACTGCATTCCAGTCTGGACGACAGAGTGAGACCCTGTCTCAAAAAAAAAAAAAAAAAAAAAAAAAAAAAAAAAAAAAAAAAAAAAAAAAATTAGCTAGGTGTGGTGATGTATGCCTGTAATTCCCACTACTCGGGAGGCTGAGGCATGAGAATTGCTTGAACCTGAGAGGTGGAGGTTGCAGTGAGCTGAGACCGTGTGAGCTGAGACTGTGCCAATGCACTCCAGCCTGGGTGACAGAGTGAGACTTTGTCTTTAAAAAAAAAAAAAAAAAAAGCAAATTTTAGTTCTATATATTGAGGTTATTTAAGAGACAGAACGGGTAGAGTTGAGGAATAAGGTGGTGGTGGGTGGGTGGGGAAATAGGATTGAGTGCCTGGCATTGTGCCTATGTTGCAGATGAGGAAACTAAGGCTCAGAGATGAAGCAGCTTCTCTAAGGTTATAGGAAGCAGTGGAGCTGGGCTTTGAACCCAGGCTTGACTGGCTTGAGATCCCAGGCTGCCTCAGTCTGAGGCTTTAAAACCCCAACTCCCCAGCCCAGCCTCTTTAGATGCAGACATAGTTGCTGGGTCTGAGACCTCAGCCAGAGCAGCCTTGCAGAGCCTGGGGTCCCAGCTGCAGGGCCAGGGCCTCTGGCTGGGCAGGGGGTGGCGGGAGCAGGGTGGGCTAGGCTCTCCATCCTACCCACTTAGGGCATTTTCTCTCCATCCTTGCTCTCTTGGCTTACCAGCACCTCTGCCCCTCTTCCCCACAGCACATCACAACTCGCCACCAGGCCTCAGCTGCCCACTCAGCAACCCTGCCATCCCACCCACCCAGGCCCCTGAAATGCCCCAGCCCCGGCCCTTCCGCCTCGAGTCCCTTGACATCCCTTTCACCAAGGCCAAGCGTAAGAAAAGTAAAAGCAACTTTGGCAGTGAGCCTCTGTGAGCACAGCTGCCTGCCGCTGTCTGCCTTATAGGCATCTAATGACTGCCAGGCCCTCCCAGGGCAGTCCCAGCCAGGCCTCCTCCCACCTGCCACACAGCGCTCCAGGGCCTGAGGGCTCCCTCAGCCCTGGGAAGACACATTCCCTTCCCTGTTCCCCAGAGAGTCCACCTCTGCCCTGGGCAGGAGCCCCTTGGAGGCTGAACAGTCCTCCTTAGAGAGGCCTGCTCCAGCTGTTCGCACCACATCAGTGTTTCCGTCTGCTCACCTGCCACGGAGCGCACACCCATGCCCACCAGTGTTGGTCTTTGCTTCAAAGCCTCAGACCTGCTTCATGGCCTTCACCAGCCCTGATGGAGTGGGCAGCAGCTGCCACGTGGAGGAAGCTCAGTATCAGCCGGGAAGGAACTGTGCCTCTGCCTGACTGGCCCCACTTCCTGAGAACTGCCCTGCCCCGTGGGTGGTACAGGGGTCCCACAGCAAGTCTTCCTGCACTGCCCACCCCTGGCTGGTCTGTGGCCCAGGGAAGGCCACTCCACATCAAGCTGCCCAATAAACTGCTTTTAAGATAAGCTCCCCTTCTCTGGCCCTCTGACTGTGTCACTTGGGGCCCCTCCCTGCCATTGTGGCCTGGCTGTCCCAGGGAAGCTCTTTCTGGAAGAAGGGCTCTTTTGCCTGGGACCTCCTGGGTTTCTGCAGCTCCCTACAATCGTGAGTACATTCTTCTGGGAAGAGCGTCTGAATTTTCATTAGATTCTCGAAGGACCTGTGACCCAAGAAAGCAGACCCCTTGTTGTGGAAAATAGGGCCATGTCTCACTGAGGCCAGAAAAGGGCCCAGCTTTTGACAGTCCTGGGGGCTGTGCTGGGACTGGGTTCCCTGATACAGCCAGAAATGAATCCAGGCCAACCTATTTGTGTCCACATAGGGGGGTACCTCCCCTTGCCCATTCTATCCCAGGCCTCTCCTGTGGGGGGCCCCAAATCTAAGGGAAAAGGCTTGGCCTTTGGCACAGTCCTGGAACCCATTTCACTCTGAGCCTTATCTGTGAAATGGGGATAACGCCCACCTCACAGGGTTCATGTGAAGATTAAATGAGATAGTATGTAAAGCTCCTGGGGCATAGCAGGTGCTCTGTGTTAGTCCTCCGCCTCCCTATTTTGTATCAATTTCCATGGCAGGCCCCACAACACCCAGGCCTGGGCTCACACTCTTGAGAAGCTCACACTCTTGAGAAGCTCGGGTGGGGGTGCTTAGACAGCTACAGAGATGTCCAGCCAGTGGCAGGCGGCAGTGCGTCTTGAGTCAGAACAGGTGACATCAGGTCTTTTTAAAATTATTTTTAGGCCGGGCGTGGTGGCTCACGCCTGTAATCCCAGCACTTTTGGAGGCCAAGGCCGGCGGATCACAAGGTCAAGAGATCGAGACCATCCTGGGCAACATGGTGAAACCCCGTCTCTACTAAAAATACAAAAAATTAGCCGGGTGTGGTGGCGGCACCTGTAGTCCCAGCTACTCGGGAGGCTGAGGCAGGAGAATGGCGGGAAACCGGGAGGAGCTTGCAGTGAGCCAAGATTGCGCCACCACACTCCAGCCTGGGCAACAGAGCTAGACTGTCTCAAAAAAAAAAAAAAAAAAAAAAAAAATTATTTTCTTTTTTTGAGATGGAGTTTCGCTCTGTCACCCAGGCTGGAGTGCAGTGGCGCCATCTCAGCTCAGTGAAACCTCCGCCTTCCGGGTTCAAGCGATTCTCCTGCCTCAGCCTCATGAGTAGCTGGAATTATAGGCGCCCGTCACCACACCCGACTAATTTTTTTTGTATTTTTAGTAGAGACGGGGTTTCACCATGTTGGCCAGGCTGGTCACGAACTCCTGACCTCAAGTGATCTGCCCGCCTCGGCCTGCCAAAGTGCTGGGATTACAGGTGTGAGCCACTGCACCTGGTCGAGATGAGGTCTTTATGGGGAACAAAGAGTGCCTTTCTGAAGGAAGCAGTGCTGGGTGGGGCTCCCAGAAAGGATGGAGAAGATCCCGGGAGGTTTAAGATGGGGGTGTAAGGAGGGGGCTCCTGGCGGAGGGCGCTGCAAAGCAAAAGGCAGGAGGTGTGGAACTCAGGGGGTTAAAGGCTGGGCCATTCCTGTTGCATGGACGCCCTGAGCAAGGACTGAGGGGGGATGAGGCTGCTGAGATGAGTGTAGGTGGAGACCTGACAGCAAAGAGCCTTGGGGTGTCCCTGTGCTGTGGCCGACTCCTAAACAACAGTTTAACACCGTTGGCTCTGAATTAGAGGTGCGCGGACGTGGTATTGTGTGTCGAGGGTGAAGGGCAGGAGTTAGGGTGAAGGAGCCAGGAGCTCTGCAGAGGCTTACCTTGGGGCGGAGCCAGTGGGAATGGAGAGCAAGCAGAGTCCGTTAAGAAGATGCATGGAGGGAGGTTTTGATTTTTGCCCAATTTTTGGGTTGGTGGACAAGTGTCAGAAAGGAACTGCTACCTTCTGTCTCTACAAGTGCCGTCACCATTGGCCTCAGGATTGTGGTTGGGACGCAGAGGACAGTGGAAGTCTTGCTGCTTGTGGTAGTTTTTACTTAGACCCCTGGTGGGCAAAGGCAGGTCTGACGTGAACCGGGTGGCCTCTGTATTAACCTAGAAGAGGTGGGAGCCACATTATTGAATGGATGTTCAGTCTAGCCTGGCGCTAAGTGCTTCAAAACCTGCCATGTTCCTCCCAAGAGCCCAGAGATGAGTTAATTAAATGGCTGTTCCTAAGGCACACAGATAAGCAGCGAAGCTGGACCTCGTCCTTAGCCCTATTTACAGCCAGGGAAACTGTCCTGGAGAGAAGTGCAATGCCCGGGTAACGGCTAGTGAGAGATGCAGCTTGGAAACAGAACCATCGCTAGGCCAGTCCACTGCCCATCCACAGTCTCCAGCGTGGGCCACCGAGCTGGGCAGGACAGGCCCGTCCATGCCATGGCCCCTGGAGCCGTGAGCCCCAGGAAGCTGGCTCCAAGTGCCCTGGCCCTGATCTTACTCTTCCAACCCCTCTTCCCTAGAGATGGTGGAGGTGGGGCTTAGTTCCTGATCCCGAGCCTTCCCAGGCCCAGTGAAGACCCCGCCAGCGAGAAGGTGGCTCCACAACCTGTCCGGGACGCGACGGTCAAACCCAGGCAGAATCCCTCAAGCTCCAGCGGGCAGCGGGCTCCAGACTAGGGGGCGGGAGGCCGGCCTGGGCGGAGCAAAGGGCGCTCGGCCTCGTTGATTGGCCACGGCTGCAGAGCTGTCTCTCTAGGATTGAACCTTTTCTTTAGGGAGGCGGGGCCTTGATACACTCTCACCAATAGGGTTCAAGGAATCCGCCTCCCACCAGGACACTTCCGGTTGTGCTCTGCGCTCCTTACCGCCAAAGCTCCGGCTCTGGCGCCTAGCCCCGGCGTATGTCGATCACTTCCGGGTGATGCTCCACGGCCACGAGCCGCGATTGGGCTACCGTAGACGGGGTACTTCCGGTGTCCAGGTGCTGGGTTCTTTGGTAGGAGGAGGAAGATGGAGCCCAGCACCGCGGCCCGGGCTTGGGCCCTCTTTTGGTTGCTGCTGCCCTTGCTTGGCGCGGTTTGCGCCAGCGGACCCCGCACCTTAGTGCTGCTGGACAACCTCAACGTGCGGGAGACTCATTCGCTTTTCTTCCGGAGCCTGAAGGGTGAGAGCGGGGTCTGAGGGAGGAGCGTGTGGGGGCCTGGGGTTGTTACGGCATCGAGGGCATTGAGCACTCTCCTCCCCACTCCCTTTCCTGGAGCAGGCCGCCCGGGTCTGGCCTGCCGCTTGGGGTGCGGGTCCGCGATGTCTGCAGCAGGGGTTTCCCTTCGCGTCCCGTCTTTCTCAACTACCTGTTTTTTCTTGTCTAGACCGGGGCTTTGAGCTCACATTCAAGACCGCTGATGACCCCAGCTTGTCTCTCATAAAGTATGGGGAATTCCTCTATGACAATCTCATCATTTTCTCCCCCTCGGTAGAAGGTAAGGGTTCCGCGTCGCCCCTAGCGCTGGGATTCGAGACCCGGGACTGATGGATTGCTTTCTTCTGGTTCTTGGGCATGTCCTGGGTGATAGGATGGGCGCAGCTACCACGGAGATGAGAAAAAGGCTCATTTCTGACCTGACCCTAGGAGGGGAGATCTTTCTAAAAGACACAGCTAAGGATTGTGGAGTCAAGTGTTGCTGCAGACTATGGAACCCAGGACCCTGCTGCTCTACTGAGAAGGGAGTTTACTCTGTAAAGGGCCTCATAGAAAGATGGAAATCTCCTGGGTTGGGTTTGCCTGGGTGGAAAGAGGAAATGGCCTGTTATTAATATGGATTGCTATAAAGAGGCATTGTGCATTGTGGCAGTTGATCTTAAGAATTCAGATAGATTCATAGTCTCGGGCTGGAAAAAGAGCCTTAGCAATTATCCAGTCTACCCCTCCTCCCATTTGAGGCTGGATAGATAGGTCCAGCAGCCTCGCAGAGAGCTAGTCGTTTAACAGAATGAATATCTTGGCCAGATTATCCAATTTATACTTGAGTATTCCTGTTTTACGAGGCAATCTACTCCACCACTGAACAATTCTGTTAAGAAGTTCTTATATTAAGCAAATATTGTCTCCTGCTTTATTTTGTTCTTAAGCTCCCCAGCACCTTAGAGAATAGATCTAATGCTTATCTTGCTTGGAGGCATAGCCTCCACATAGTCATAGCTTATTCAGTTGTTTCTCCTCCAGGCTGAACATCCCCAGCTCCTTGGCTGTTTCTCTTTTGCCATACTTTTTTGGTGAGCATGTTAGTCATTCTCTTATTTGCTTCAGTTTATCTTTTTCTCAAAAGACTCAAGTTACCCCTGTCTAAGACAGGACTGCCTTCCTCCCTTCAGTTGATGAAGCCTAGGAAGTTCTTCATTGGCGCCTTTTTTTTTTTTTTTTTTTTTGAGACAGGGTCTTGCTCTGTCCCCTAGGCTGAGTGCAGTGGTTCGATCATGGCTCACTGCAGCCTCTACCTCCCAGGCTCAAGGGATCCTCCCTCAGACTCTCGAATAACTGGGACATGGCTTGTTTATTCTCTGTAGTTCACGTGAGGTTCGGTTCCACCAAATCCCTCAAGTATTTTTCCTAGGCTTCTGTTACTTACTGTGTCACTCCCAACTCCCTTGCAACGTGTGCTTTTGGAATTGGCTTTTTGGAGGCAAGATTAGTTAGGCGGATATCACCCCCAATTGGTATAAGTTGAAATATTCAGATGACTGGGCAGGTGAATGGAGGCTTCAGTGTAGTAATGGGTGGTTTGCCAAGTTTTTACTGTGTTTGAAACTTTGAAATAGGTACCATACAGTGGACTGGGGGAGATCTTAAGGATAGGGAGTCTGCCCTAGAGGAGTTCTTTCAGTCTGTTTTTGAGGAAATAAAAGTAAAGACCTGAAATGAGTTACCAAACCCTGTGTCAGGATGTAAGATGAAGTGGAAGCACTGTCAGCTTGTATAGGTCCGAAGGAAAGAAGCAGTGAATGAGACTGGTCGGGAGTGGGCTGAGAGAGGATACTGTTGGTGGGAGAAACAGCAGAGAGTGAAAAACAGTGTTTCCCCAACTTTAGTTATTTACACACATCCTTCATGGTTTTTACCATATTACATATCTCCTGTGCTAATAACTACCTAGTATTTTTCTTCAAATTGACCTGCTCAAAAGAAAAAAAAAAAGGCTAGGTACGATAGATTATCTCTGTAATCCCATCACTTTGGGAGGCCAAGGCAGAAGGATCGCTTGAGTCGCGGAGTTTGAGACCAGCCTGGGCAACATAGTGACACCTCATCTCTACAAAAAATGAACAAAATTAGCTGGGCGTGGGGCACATGCCTGTAGTCCCAGCTACTGGGGAAGCTGAGGTGGGAGGATTGCTGACCCTTGGTGGTCAAGGCTGCAGTGAGCTGAGATCATGCCAGCTGCACTCCAGCATAAGTGACAGAGCAAGACCCTGTCTCAAAAAAGAAGAAAAAAACAAAACTAAACTAAAATAACATTTTAAAAGGGAACCAATAGTGAGCCCAGAATCACCACTGAAAATGGAAATCCAGTGTCGTCACTTGACGTACATAGAAGGTAACTATAAATAGAATAAAAACAACATCCGTAAGTTCTAGCCAGATACTGCTGCCTGCTGAAGGCTTTGAACCTGAGGTTCCCTCTTGAAAAGAGATTAGCAAGCATTAGAAGTTCTTTTTTTTTTTTTTTTTTTTTTTTTTTTGAACGAGTTCACCGTTGCCAGGCTGGAGTCAGTGCCGATCTCGCTCACTCAAGCTCCCCTCCCAGTTCCCGCCATTCTCCTGCCTCAGCCTCCTGATACTGGACTACAGCGCCGCCACCGCCCCTAATTTTTTTTTTTAGTAGAGGGTTTCACTGTGTCTCGATCTCCTGACTTGTGATCGCCCCTCGCTCCAAAGTGCTGGATACAGGCTTGAGCCCCCCCGCCTAGAAGTTCTAAAACTAGTATCAAACTAAGACATTCTCTTTGATGGAGAAAGCTTGAAAAGTAAGGAAGGGGAGTAATTTCTGTCCCTGAGATTCAAGGTTATTTAAAACCCGGTTCCCGCATTCCTGTTGCTGCCTTTTCTGCCTCTGGTGGAGTGGGTCCCACACTTTGGAAGGTGCTGCTGCAGGAAATCCTCAGGCGTTCCTTGGGAGAAGGCTGCAGGGTAGGGTTCAGGGTGTAGGGGTTTGGTGTCTGCTCCCAGGGCCCTGCCTTGGTCCCATGACCACTGTCACTGTCATTCTCTCAGGTGTGTGAGTGCTGGTCTGGCTTCCCTCTCCATGTTCCAGTGGCTTCTTTGCCCTCTCTGGCATCAGAAGGCTCCCAGGTCACTGGCAGTCATGGCTACAAGGGAAGAAATTTTCAGCGCATCCTCTATACCCAGGAAAAACTGGATCCCTGTTATAGATGGGGAAATGGGTTCAAAAGGATGAAGAGATTTGCCTAGTTTTAACCCCAGGTGGTCTCAATTTCAAAGCCCGTGTTCTCTCTACCTTACAAGAGTTCCTCAACAGGTGCACTCTTGACATTTCAGACTGGATAATTTTTTACAGTGAGGCTGTCCTGTGTACTGTAGGGTGTTTAACAGCACCCTGGGCCTCTGCCTATTAATGCCAGTAGCCACTTTTTCCTGTTATGTGACAGCAAAGAAATGTCTCCAGACGTTGCTCTGAGGGGCAAAATCGCCCAAGATTGCAAACCACTGCACTGCCAATAGGCTGCTTTTGGAATGTCTAAGACTGCCTGGCCTCTCTGAAGGAGAGTGGATAGATGGCTTTTTGATCTGAAGGAGAGTGGATAGATGGCTTTTTGATCTGAAGGAGAGTGGATAGATGGCTTTTTGATCTGAAGGAGAGTGGATAGATGGCTTTTTGATCTGAAGGAGAGTGGATAGATGGCTTTTGTGGGGAGTGGATGGTGATGAAGGAGAGTGGATAGATGGCTTTTTGATCTGAAGGAGAGTGGATAGATGGCTTTTTGATCTGAAGGAGAGTGGATAGATGGCTTTTTGATCCGAAGGAGAGTGGATAGATGGCTTTTTGATCTGAAGGGGAGTGGATAGATGGCTTTTTGAATGTAGCATGAGAGGCAGAGGTAGAGAGTACAGGAGCTTCTGTGTATGCCTGAAGGTCAGGTAAGGCACTTTTATTTTCTGCTGAAGATTACCCCTCAAGAAACAGGGCTCTTCTATTCAGATCTTTACAAAGTTATTTCCACCTGCTACTAGGGGTCTAATGGATACACTTCTCTGTCCAGTCTCAGAAATTGGCACGTCCGTCCTTCCGGCTGCTCAGCCAGACTCCTTGGAGCTTTTCTGAGGCCTCTGTCAAAGCATCAGCAGGCCCTGTGGCTGTGCCCTCAGAAGGCGTGGAAGCCTGCCGCGCCTCCCTCTGTTGCTGCTGCACGGTCAGCTCAGCACTCTTCACTGCCTAGCTTTTCACAGTGGCCTTCACCCATCACCACGGCCACGCTCACCCTCGTACCCTAGTCTCTACCCCGCCGCCAGGATCATCCTTCAAAAATAGGAGGGAGATCCTGCCAGGCTCCTGCTCAGAATCCTCCAGCAGCTCCCCACGACAGGGCCCTTGTGTGGGGTGCAGAGCCCTGCGCAGCCCGGGCCCTCACTTCACCCGGCCTTACCTCCTGCTGCTCACTCCTTTCTTTCCAGCTAAGCC